AAAGGGAGTCTGGAAGATTCCAGAAGTCGAGGAAGGCTATGTGCATAGAGGTCAATGTGCAAAGGCTTCTTAGTGTTAGATGTCCAAGGCTGGATGGAGTCATGGGACACCAGAGGTGGGGCCAGATATGCAGCCCCAGGAGCCCTTTGTACATTCTTTTCCCCTTCGTGCAAGTTAACTCATGAAGGAGGACCTAACTTCATGAGCAGACATGCACAGGATCCACTGCAAATCAACATCTCACTGTTCTCCAGCAGGTGTAAATGGACTGCATTGTAAAACCATCCCATAAATGTAATGTAACTGATTGTGTATTGTTTGCATCATCTCAGAATTAGAGTGAGAGAACACATGCCACAAAATCCAATCTGAAGTTTTATTTCCTTAAACAAAGAACTCATGGGGCCATATTAATCTTGGGTCTCTGAAATCCTGAGGCAAATAGAAGCCATTAGTTGTCAAACTGACAATGTCAGCATTTTCTCTTCCCTGAAAGCAAGATTTCAGAGTAGTTAAGAGAGCATCACTTATCTATCGCAGTGGATTTCTTCAGTGTAAATGGGTATAGGATTGGAGCCCATCAGTATACAGGTGCAGATATAGAGAGGGAGGGGCATATAGAGAGGCACATGACAAAATTGTCCATTGACACACTGCTATTACATTACAGCATTGTTTTGAATGTCTAAGAATTCTATGTCCTGAATCTAAGCAAGGCATCTAAAACAAGCATAGCACTGTGTTTCATGGGTGTAAATGTGCAAGAACAGTTTTTCGCAATGTGCTATATTCATTTTTATGGAGATCCTATTTAGCCCTTGCGCTCGCATAACTCAGTGCAATTTACACAGCAGGCAACTGATTTGTCTGACAAATTTCTGATTTGTTCACTCTGCTGGGGCCCACAATAAATTGTTTGAAAATGCTAAGTAAAAAAAGGAAGGAGTAACAGATGCTGTGCTAAACAGAGAGATGATTGATGAACACGACATAGTTGAATGTTTTGAAGTTAGTCTTCTTCTTTTTTTGCATCCTGAGAGTCTTCCTGCTTCATATTCTTGGCTCATGTTGCTCCCCTCGTTGTCTTGAGATTTATTGCCTCTTCTGACTTGCCAGTACTTATCTCGTTACTGAATTTCTAGTTTCATGGTGGTGCTGAGTAGCTAAATGGTAAGCTCTCACAATAAACTAATGGTGTAATTCAGACTCATTACACTCCTCAGATGACTAATTACCCTCATGTGACTCTTTTGGCTTAGAAAGGGGAGCGTCTCACTAGTTCATAAATTTTGCTAAACTCTAGGCTGGAAATAAATCCTCAGCGCCAAGTTCCTAACAGAGATGCTTGAGAAATTCAACTTCCGTAAATTCCAATGCAAATGCCATTGATCCTTATCTCCCAGACGAATATGTGGCGCAGATAGAAATTATCCTTCAAATGTCTCAATTCTCTGAATCTCATGATCTGCTTCCTGGCTCAAAGTATGAACTAAAAGGCACTCAAGATTGATACTTGGGGATAAAATACATTAATGCTGCAGTAGTATGGTTCCTCAGAGGCCATGTCAGAGGCTGTAGGATAGCTCATCGGTTCCACTCTGATGCTGGAGAGGGAGATCTGATATTGCACCCTCCTACCCCACTGCTACTCCACTGGGACGTGGGTGGCACTGTGGGTTAAACCACAGAGTCTAGGACTTGCTGATCAGGTCAGTGGTTTGAATCCCCACGACGGGGTGAGTACTGTTGCTCGGTCCCTGCTCCTGCCAACCTAGCAGTTTGAAAGCACGTCAAAGTGCAAGTAGATAAATAAACAGTGTTTCTGTGCGCTGCTCTGGTTCACCAGAAGCAGCTTAGTCATGCTGGCCAGATGACCCGGAAGCTCCCTCGGCCAATAAAGTGAGATGAGTGCCACGACCCCAGAGTCAGCCACGACTGGGCCTAATGGTCAGGGGTCCCTTTACCTTTACCTTTTACCCCACTGCTGCCAAAGCTCCAGTGCTGGTATGGTGAAAAAGAGGTTGTTTCAGGGCAGATAAGGGACAGGGCAGGTGAAGAATACAGAGACATTCAGGAGTATGGCTAAACCTTTCCATCTCCTTTCCCCTCCTTAGAAACACTGGGAGGGAAAACATTTAAAAACTTGGGCAAAACTTAACAGTCATGCCTGGCTCCTTCATTATACAGTTTCCGGTGAATGTTGAAGACACATCTATGTACCCTGGCTTTTGACACTTGTGGTGTAGAGTTTCAGGACCCTACTTCTGTTGTGCTTGTAATTTGCTTTAAACTGCTTTTAATGCTATGTTTTAATTGTTGCAACCCACCCCAGGGTTTTGGGGTTAAGTGTGGGCATAGTAATAATGCATAGATGAGGCTACTTTCAAACATGTTACAGAAGTTCCGGGCAGCATTTGAGCGTTGTTGTGATGAGTCCTTGTTGCTATTTGTTCGTTTTATATTAAAATACGCACTCCCTTAAAAGGAGCCATCACGGAACATCTCACATGCCAAAATGAAAAGCAGCAACCCTCACAATTACCTCCTGCTGTCAGGACATCTTGAATCAGCAAGCTATTACTTCATCATGCTGAATATCATGACAAAGTCAAAGGTGCTTTCCTGAATGCCCTGACCCATTATAAGAGCGCCGGCTCAATGCCTGCTGTGCTCAGCTAACGAGGGAAGAAACCTGGTAAGAGCATACTGAGTGCAAACGGAGGAAATGGGGAGCGGAATGCATTTGGAGTTGTTCAGAATGCTCCAGTGCTCTTTGGAAGCTTTTCTGCTCTGAAGGAGTTCATTTCATGTGGGTGTAACTTTGGTACAGTGTGCCATCCATGCAAAAGTAGACACATTTTACACACACACACACACATCAGCAAAGCTGTGAACTGAAGCTAGATATTCATAGCATCTCAAATATGTGTTTGAACTACCAGCAGTGAGTACTTGGACTAGCGCAAGACCCCCCAGGGTTCACACATGTCAGGTGTAGGCATTCAGCTGTCCTGGCTCTTAATAAAAGCCCTGGATCTTGGAAACCCCCTAAGACATGTTAACTTCAGTCACTCAGAACCAATTAATACATATAGGAGAAACACCATCCTAGGAGGACTGTATCGGTTCAGGTAACAGGTGAGCCATGCAATGTTTTCATGCTTGCCCATCTCAGATACTCCCTGCAAGTGAAATGCAGATGCAGGAGGTCGGGTGTTTTAAGAGTACAGCATGGAGTGTTCCAATATGCAGTCAACCCTGCAGCCAGAAGAGGGAAAGTCCCAGGGAAACCATACCATGTGCTTTTCTTGAACAGTGTGTGCTGATGTCAGCGATGAGTTCTCCCCCCACCTCAAAACGCCTTCCTTTCCCAGTGACACGTGCTGTATTTATGGTTGAATGCAATTGTGCAGAACAGGAAGCATATGGACACACCTTGCAAGGAGGAGAAAGAGACACTATTTAGCTGGTTTGTTGGAGCTTCATAACACTTGTGTTTCTAATTGTCCTAAACAGGCTCAGAATACTTCACCAATCCAAGGTTAACTACAAGACATGAGCTCATCTTTTCAGACTCTCTCGTTTGCAAAGTTAGCCACATCAACCACCACCACCCATGTTTCCATGTTATTAAGAAAGGTCACCTATGGGTAGGACAACTTTTGATCCTACAGAATTTAAAACAGTGTCCCAGAGAAAATGCCATAAATGTGTATGGCTTATTGCCAAATAAGTTGGCTTTGGGTGCTAGTTTTTGGTACGGTTTGCAAAATGCAATCTGATATGGGCATTTGAATTCAAGAGGGTAGGAATTAATTAACATTTCTTTTCATGTCTTACCACTGAAAAGGGAAAACAAAAAAAATTCCTTCCAGTAGCACCTTAAAGACCAACTAAGCATTGCAAGTTTCTTGGTGAGGTTGATGGACTTCCATTTCATGTGGCTCAATGTGGTGCCTTCCATAGTTCCAGTTACAGATAGGTAGCCGTGTTGGTCTGCCATAGTCAAAACAAAAAAAATTCCTTCCAGTAGCACCTTAAAGACCTGGAAGGAATTTTTTTTGTTTTGACTATGGCAGACCAACACGGCTACCTATCTGTAACTGAAAAGGGAGTTATTGCATTGGTCTGCAGGAGCTGTGTGTGTTTCGAAAGTTTTATATTATTCCAAAGCTGCTGTCTATTCTTTGTACAAATAGCTGGGATAAAGAACCATGATGTGGAATGAAATGGGGGCAGGAAATCAGGAGATATGAGCAAAGGTTTGGAAGTCATCCCCTCTTGTTTCACTATCAGTGATGACACAAGGGTATAATGCCATGGTAGAAATGCATTACAGTATATTAACGTTCTACTAAATGTTAGAAGAGTTGTGGTGGGAGAGGAACGTGTTTACATCTATAGTGGCCATGCTTGAAAGTAATCAGATATTGGGGTAGATCTTGAGTTTAATCCTATACAAGTCTATTCATTAAATTCAGTGGGACTTACACCCAGCAGCTTGAGCCTCCAGTCATAACACCACCTACCTGGGAGTAGGCCCCATTTAATTCAGTAGCACCTACATTTGAGTAGACATGGTTAGGATTGTATTGTTTGTTGCAAAGTTCAATAATGGGTATACAATCCTCTTGAACCCATTTGTGGATTTGTTGGGTTACTTGGAGAAAGAGAAGTTTCAAGTTCACCAAAGGAAATAGTAGACCTTCAGGGGAAGGGGCAGAACACATGCTTTCATGAAGACGATACCAGGTTCAATCCCTGACAACTCCATGCAGGATAGGGAATATACTCTTTGTCTGAAACCCCAGAGAACTGCTGCCAGTCAGTGTAGCCAAATGACTTGTGCCATTTAGAGTTCGTTTGTACTCAGATTTAAGGGTGAGTTCTAGGAAAATTGGTTCCCATTTCAAGTATATGTTGAACTCGGGAAGGGGATGTGTTAAAGGCCTGGTAGATTCCTTCCGGTGTTTACAATGACACTCACAAAAAACATAAGCCAAGTTTAAAACATGTTCAGAAAGCCAACACATAATTTGTAATATATTGTGTACAATACTTTCAATAAGTTTCATCTCTGGTCACTCAGTAAAAATAATAAGTATGAGAAAAATTGTGGTGAAATGAATGGTTAATGAAGTGTTTGTTAATGTATTGCTTTTTTTTAATGAAAAAATAAACCTTCAAATGGGAAAGTAGTTTAAAATAAGTCAGGAAAAAACATTTTTAAAGATTCCATTCAGCAAGTCATATGCATTAATTTGGAGGCATTTTTTAACACACAACCAAGCAAAGAAAACAGAATACGCCTTTAAAATTATTGCTATATTTAGCAGGTTGTTAACATCACCAACATGCATATTTTCTGTGAATTCATATTTAATACAAATATTTTAAAATACCAGATCTGAAAATGATAACCATTTTAATAACTGACCTTTCCCCCAAAATATAGTCCTTTGGCATAGCAAACAATATTTTCAGAATTATAATAAATACATATTTTAGGCTGCCATCCTATACTTCTTTATCTGGGAGCAAGTTCCATTGAACTCAGTGGGACTTACTTCTGCGTAGACATTAATAATAATTTGTTTCTTATACCTCGCCCATCTAACTGGATTACCTCAACCACTCCAACAAAATATGAAGGGACAAAACAAAACTGTTAATTCCTTCAATGACCTACACTGATTACTCCTAGCAATTATTTTAGGGCATGTACATTTCCATTTTCAATTTGATCTACCAGTTTGTACAGGGGAAATGAAAAAGAAACCAGCTCTTCAGAAAAGATTCTAAATACTAACCAGGCTACTGAAACTACATTTATGCTACTTTGTCAGATGCATCATAAAACATTACTATATTATTAATCATAATATTGTTTAAGTAAGGCAAGAGTTTTGAAAGAATTTAAATAGTGTATTTCTCTTATATGATTAAAATCAGATGGTCTGGCCACCTTATTGTTCTGATATCACTACATACAAAGCAATGTCAATACACAACAAAGCAGCCTCTAAGGATGGAATCACACTGGAGGAAGCTGTGATCTAGAATTTACTCGGTCAATCATACCACATGATGTCACAATAGGAGAGCACTGACTATTTACACAGTGGTTTGATTGGCAAGAATGGTTTGAGTGTAAACAATGGTGAGTCAAGTGCCTTGAGAAATGCATTGACCAGCTTGTTGTTACCTAGAAAAGTTGTTGTTAATTCTGTTGCAGACTTAAAGTGAGCTAAGAACAACACACAAGGCTCTTGTTTTTAAGATAAAAACACCTATTTTGTTGCACGTGGCAGTTTCAAGTATGTACGAACGTATATTCATTTGCCGCATGAGCTACATTAAATTGCACAGTAATATTATGCCTCAGGAAATAGATTTTTTTTTTTATCGTATGCCTAGATCTTACAGAGCTCTATAGAGTACGATGAATATTTAGTGCTTGAAAAGGCATTGCATCTAGTGATGGAAACAAAATATTTGAGAATATAGTATATAGAAGTGATTTGATAAATCTGTTTAGCTATACTTTACAATTATAACTTACAATTAAAAAAAATCAAACTATTCCCCCACCCCTCTCGACTTAAGAGATGGTTTGAGCTTCTATGCAGCATCATGGACCATGCTTGAAGATACAGGTTAGTGGGTGACGAAGGGACAAACTGCATGTAACCTGAACTGCACAGTTCTGCCCTGAATGCAGCTCCCCCCAAACAAATACACCTCTTGTCAGCATGGAGGCCCCAATCCAGACCATAGCATGGGATTTAACCCTTTCTCGCCCACTGCTGTCTGTAACTGGATCAAGGTCCTTCTGCCTGCAGTTTGCACTGCAAGAAAAGCTCCCACTAGTTTCTTAGGGGTCATTTTTGTTTGGTTATTTTGCCATGCAAATTACAAATGATGATGATGATGATGATGATGATGATGATCACAGGTTTATGCTTTCCCAGAAATGTCTGTTTCCCTCCAGGCTGATAATGACAGGTGCTATATGGAACATTGAGGTACGCTAACAGATTATTGCCAGTTTCTGGCACTTTGATTAAAGAGAGGTTCATTGATGATAGGAAGAGGCAAGTCCTAAGAACACAAGAAAAGCTCTGCTGGATCTGAACCAAAGACCCATTTAGCCCAGCATCCTGTATTCACAGTGGCCAACCAGATTCCTCTGTGACACCTGCAACCAGGATGCAAGGGCAACAGCACTCTCTTTCATATTCTACCCCTTCTGTTAGGAGTATTTTTAGGTATGGAAATATTGCAAGATGCTAAATTGAAAATAGTTTTTCATCCATGTATGCTCATTTAGTCTTTTGATTGTCCTCTAGGTTTTAAAGCACAGGAATACAATTTAGTATGCATCTCTCTAATCTCAATACTTCAAAAGATCATTTGAACAGGCAACAGCCATATTAAGACCGAGAAGATGCTTCTCAGTTTCTTCTTTGAAGTGAGACTCAGTGACCCGCCTGCCTCACCATCATTCCTTATCAGCTGCAGGGGTGGGGGCTGAAAGGCCTTTCATCCTTGGTGCTCATTGTCCAGAATATACGCACATACACACACCTGAGTGATTCCGGAGGCTTTGTTCCTCCATAAAATTAAGTTTCCCTGTCATACAGAACTCTTTCCAACAACTTGTCATCCTGTAGTTTAGCGATGTATATACTCTGATAATTTACCAGCAGTTCCTTGTATCTTTTTAAAAATTATTATTTCTAGTTACATGTACTTATGCTTATGCTTTGCAGCATTAGATTATAGTTTACCAAGATTGGGGTGGTGCTTGGTTTGTTTGTTTGTTTGTTTGTTTGTTTGTTAAAAAATCCAAGTAACATGTCTTTGTTAGTTCCAATCCATCTCTAGTGCTTACTTAAATTAAACAAAAGATTTACAATGATTTGCTCTTTAATTCCATAATAGCCTACAGTTGTGTATCAGCGAATCACTAGGAATTACTCAACTGAAGGAAAAGAATAATTTCAGATATTAATTGCATGCTTAACTATCCCTCTGGCATTGATGGGTCTGAGGTGCTTAACTTTGGCTGGATCATGTCCACTGTATTGAAACATAGCATGTAGTGCAATAGGAGGAACTTTACCTTAAAAACTGTTACTTTGGCTCAAAAATACTATACATATAATCTCATCTGAGTGCAATTGTACATTAGAGGACCAGTGTCTCATTGCAGAGCTTGAACCATGAGGCTAACAGATTTGACATTTGAGTACATCAGAGTGTCTATAAATTGTCAGTTAACAAGGTTTCTCTTTTCACACCGAGTCAACCTTGACTAAATTGTTGTTTGTGATCAGTGGCGAGGGCTTGCTTTTCATCCTGTCGACTGCATCATTTGAGCTGTCCTGGAAGAAAACTCTTGCTGTACAAATTGCCACAATAATTCGTTTGTATTCTCGTCTAAAATTCTGGTTCAAAAGTCCATAGATGATAGCATTAAGGCAGCTGTTGAAGTATGCCATGTAGTAACTGGAAACAAACAACCACTCTGGAATTCGGGGAATTATTGTTTCTGGGTTGACAGCCACTGCAAGGCCTATAAAATTCAAAGGAGCCCAGCAGACGGCAAAGAGTACAAACACCACAAACATGGTGACAAAGTTCCTAAAGTCATGTGGCTTTAGTTTGGGTTTGTTGTCGGGTTTAACTCTCCTCCGTACCTGAATGACCAGGATCCATATCCTCAAGTAGCAAAATGTAACTATGGCTATTGGGAGCATGAAATGGAAAAACACAACAGCTATTGTGTACGCTGAGCTCACCGACTGGGAGAAGGTGCATGAGAAGATCCTGGCATCATACTGAAGCGACCCAACAAAAAGATTGGGCACAATGGCAACAAATGTCAGGACCCAAATAAGGATGACGTAGCACAAAGAGTTCTTGTCGCTGTACAGCTTGTCATACTTGAGGCTGTGGCAGATGTAGCAATATCGGTTAATTGCAATTCCAGTAATGTTGAATATGGATCCAATAACACTCAGGCCCATAAGAAACCCACTGATCTGGCAGTGGATATATCCCAGGTTCCATCCATTGTGAAAGATAGATGTCAGGACCAGAGGGTATGGGTAGATTGCCACAACCAGGTCAGCGATGGCTAGGCTGACAACGAAGACATTGCCTGAAAATGAAGCATACAGAAATTGATAAATTAACAACGGTAGGGTTTGTTTTAACCAAAGCACATTCCAGTTGACCTCCCAACTTCATACATCTATCAAACAGCTTTTGCACATGACAGAAATAGCACATTGCCTACATACATAGCTAAGCAAGGGGTTAAAATCTGAAAGGGATACAGTGGGCTGTTCCACTTTGGACTGCAGGTGAGAGGGTGGGGTATCATTCTGAATGTTCCCATATATTATAAACTCATGGGGGGGGGGCAAATAGTTCACTCCTTGCTGTGCTAGTTTGCTATTTGCAAGGAATTGGGTGTTTCTTCCTTTTACTTTTTGGCTGTGGTTGTTTTTACAATGAAGTGCATTAAAAAAATCCTCACCACCACCTTTGCTGCAGTCTGAAGCCACCATGTCCATACTATGTTCCCCACCACTTTGCCCCCTCCCTCTTGGTAACTGGCACCCTGTCTGCCCTGCCTGGCTGACAACTACAGGTCTGAAGTCATAAAATATTTGTACCACCCTGTTCTGATATATTTGTAGATCCAGCCTGAGATGTTCAATTTCTAAGAATAGAAGAAGCTCATAAAACCAGAGAATCATATTGCTAGAAGTGGTCTTGTAGGCCATCTAGCCAAACCCCACTGCTCAGTGCAAGGAATCCAGTTCTAGAGCTTCTGCACCAACTTCAGCTTGAAAACACCCAAGCAAGGGAGAACCCACACCATCCCTCTAGGTAACTAGTCCCATTACTGAACTATGCTGACAACCAACAAGACTCTTCAACCTTATTTAAGCTCATTAGATCTAGCCCTGTGCTTTGATGCAGTAGGAAACAAGTTCTTGTCCTCTTCTATTGACAGCCCTTCAGGTATGTGAAGGGTGCTATCATGTCTTCCTTACCCCTCCAGGCTAAACATATCCAATACCTTTGACCTTTCCTCACAGGATGTGTTTTCTATCCTGGTGTCTAAATCCACAATAGTAGAATCATAGAATCATAGAATCATAGAGTTGGAAGAGACCACAAGGGCCATCGAGTCCAACCCCCTGCCAAGCAGGAAACACCATCAGAGCACTCCTGACATATGGCTGTCAAGCCTCTGCTTAAAGACCTCCAAAGAAGGAGACTCCACCACACTCCTTGGCAGCAAATTCCACTGTCGAACAGCTCTTACTGTCAGGAAGTTCTTCCTAATGTTTAGGTGGAATCTTCTTTCTTGTAGTTTGGATCCATTGCTCCGTGTCCGCTTCTCTGGAGCAGCAGAAAACAACCTTTCTCCCTCCTCTATGTGACATCCTTTTATATATTTGAACATGGCTATCATATCACCCCTTAACCTCCTCTTCTCCAGGCTAAACATGCCCAGCTCCCTTAGCCGTTCCTCATAAGGCATCGTTTCCAGACCTTTGACCATTTTGGTTGCCCTCCTCTGGACACGTTCCAGTTTGTCAGTGTCCTTCTTGAACTGTGGTGCCCAGAACTGGACACAGTACTCCAGGTGAGGTCTGACCAGAGCAGAATACAGTGGCACTATTACTTCCCTTGATCTAGATGCTATACTCCTATTGATGCAGCCCAGAATTGCATTGGCTTTTTTAGCTGCCGCGTCACACTGTTGGCTCATGTCAAGTTTGTGGTCAACCAAGACTCCTAGATCCTTTTCACATGTACTGCTCTCAAGCCAGGTGTCACCCATCTTGTATTTGTGCCTCTCATTTTTTTTGCCCAAGTGCAATACTTTACATTTCTCCCTGTTAAAATTCATCTTGTTTGTTTTGGCCCAGTTCTCTAATCTGTCAAGGTCATTTTGAAGTGTGATCCTATCCTCTGGGGTGTTAGCCACCCCTCCCAGTTTGGTGTCATCTGCAAATTTGATCAGGATGCCCTTGAGTCCATCATCCAAGTCGTTGATAAAGATGTTGAATAAGACCGGGCCCAAGACAGAACCCTGTGGCACCCCACTAGTCACTCTTCTCCAGGATGAATAGGAACCATTGATGAGCACCCTTTGGGTTCGGTCAGTCAGCCAGTTGCAAATCCACTGAGTGGTAGCATAGTCAAGTCCACATTTTACCAGCTTCTTTACAAGAATATCATGGGGCACCTTGTCAAATGCCTTGCTGAAATCAAGGTAGGCTACATCCACTGCGTTCCCTTCATCTACCAGGGTTGTAATTCTGTCAAAAAACGAGATCAGGTTAGTCTGACATGACTTATTTTTCAGAAATCCATGCTGACTATTGGTGATCACAGCATTCCTTTCTAGGTGCTCACAGACTGTTTGCTTAATGATCTGCTCGAGAATCTTCCCTGGTATTGATGTCAGACTGACTGGGCGGTAATTATTTGGGTCCTCTCTTTTCCCCTTTTTGAAAATAGGGACAACATTTGCCCTCCTCCAGTCTGCCGGGACTTCGCCTGTTCTCCAAGAATTCTCAAAGATGACTGCCAGTGGTTCTGAGATCACATCTGCCAGTTCTTTTAATACTCTTGGATGCAGTTCATCTGGCCCTGGAGACTTAAATACATCTAGACTAGCCAAGTATTCTTGTACTATCTCCTTAGTTATTCTGGGCTGTGTTTCCTCTGCTGAATCATTTGCTCCAAATTCTTCAGGTCGGGCATTGCTTTCTTTATCGGAGAAGACTGAGGCAAAGAAGGCATTGAGGAGTTCAGCCCTTTCTGTGTCCCCTGTTTGCATTTCACCATCTTATCCTCTGAGTGACCCCACTGTTTCTTTGTTCTTCCTTTTGCTACGAACATACCCAGTAGGATGAGGAAGAAAACATACCCAGTAGGATGAGGAAGAAAACATACATACCCAGTAGGATGAGGAACATACCCAGTAGGATGAGGAAGAAAAATCACAGGGAAGTGAGGGGGGGGGGTCTCTTGGACAGGCAGCTCCCACCACTCTTCATCAACCAGCCAGTCTCTATCACACACCAAAATTCATCTCTAGCTGCAAGTAGCTATTCCTAACTAGTAGTGCATAGCTGTGCATAGCTAGTTATATCAGAATGCAATCTAAACCCAGGAGTAAGCTCCACTGAACATAATGGGCTTCTGAGTAAGCATGCAAAGGACTGCCCTCTCAGGTGTGCATCCAATGAAAAGCAATGCAATGCAGAGAGATGCCAGCAATTGCAAGGCCCCCAGTATCCACATTGCCAGCCAGTCTCTGGGCTCAGCTGGTTGCACACAGCTCTGCATGACTGGTCAAGGCACCAGCCTTCAAGTTCACCCTCTGAAATGGCACTCCAACCATGAAGAGATAAGGAAACACTGTATGAACTCCACACCTACTCTAGGGAAGTTTTATTCCTTTTACAGTTGGTATCCTCTCCCTCAGATGTGGAATGCCTATTTTAGAATCCAGGTTCTATATATAAACCTGACTTGTATCAAAAATTCCATGTGCATATTAAATTTTAATTATGTGACAGGGGCCTGTGGGATTGACTTCTGATTAACAAATTAAATCTGGTGCTGCAGGTGGCCTTGCAAGAGAATGTGAATGGCTTCAAACTCAAGCATTCAAGCACATGTCTTCCAACATATCTCCCCATCTAAAAATAGGTCTTACATGTTACATTATTTAGCAATTTTCACAAGGCTCTATTTTTGTTGCTCAGCTGGGAGAGTTCTACAGCAGTCACGTTAGTGGGCAGCAGAGTGACTGCTTGGCAGAAGGTACAAGTGGAACTTGCCAGTTATGTAGGAAGGGACCCAGATAGCCTTGGGGCAGACTGCTCCAGACAAAAGCCTTCTAACAAGACTTGACTAGCTGCTAAAGCCTGACCATCAAGCTAAAAATGAGACCAGAAGGGCTGCTCATGAGATATCCCAAGATTCAAGATCCCTAGAATCCTAAGAGTCCTCCCCACACACCCCACTGCACACACCCCAACCCAGCCCACCCTTATTCTGGTACACGTTGAAGATATTCCCTTCCTTCTCTTTTTGAAATGTTAGACTGGGATTGTGAACAGATTACAGGGAGTGCCATTTGATAAAAGACCAGTCTTGAGCAAAGGATGATCCCCTTGAGTCCCCTTGAGTAAAAAGGGATTAGATGCTGCACAATCATGCAGGTGTTGGGTTTTAGAGACTTTGCTGAGGATTTATTTAGTGTGCTGTTGGGAGTAAATATTAGGGTTGGAAAGGAAGTTGATTATGCAAGTCTAATTATGGGAAAACTTTATAAACATGAGTTAAATCAAAGCCACACGTCTGATCGTTTTCCTACAAAGACTCTTGTAATTTTGCAAAGTGTTGACCACCATTCTTCCTAGGGAAAAATATATTGCATCTTAAGTTGAATAAGGTCCAGAATATTAGGTTTGGAAGAAGCTATGGGCTAAAACGCATTTTGAATTCTCTGGTGCCTTGTGAAGGCTTCAGATGCCAGGAACTGCTGGCAATATATTACCACTCATTTCAATATCTTCAATAATCACTGACGAACAGCACAATGTAATTGCAGTCTGGCAGATATTTGAAGTACTGTGTGCTGTGTAAACCTTAATCTGTTATGATATTCAAGATGAATAGTTTCTTGTCTTTCTCAGTTTATCTCAGCTAATCATTTTGGAAGTGTGTTGAGAATTTCACAGCTGTGTAGATTTTCATTTTTGTCACCAATATGGAGGCATCCATTGCTAAGAAGACAACATTGTGTTTGTTCTCAGTAAGGCTTAAAACATGTGATGTTCACACACACACACACACACACACACACACACACACACCACCCTCATACCTATATTGCTCAGGAATTCTAAAAAACCAAAGAAATCAGTGCAGTTTTGAAATAAGCAGCTTAAATAAGTGAAGTTGTGAAAGGTTCAGCCTGCCTCCTTACATCCAACCATAGAGGACAACCTGCTCCTTGTTCTCAAGATCCACCATGAAAAATGTGGTTATGATATCTTAAGGTATCCAAATGCAAGGCAAACCGACAACTTTCTAAAATATGTGGTAGATAATACACAC